GCAGGCCAGAAGGGAGTAGCAAGAAATATTCAAAGTGATGAATAGCAAGGACCTACAACCAAGATTACTCAGCAAAGCTATCATTTAGAATTGAAGGTCAGATAAAGAGCTTCATAGACAAGAAAAAGCTAAAGGAGTTCATCACCACCTAAACCAGTATTACATGAAATATTGAAAGGTAAAGAAGAAGAGGAGGAGAAGAAAGAGGAAAAGGAGGAGAAGGAGAAGAAGGAATCAAAAATATGAACAATAAAATGGCAATAAAGACAAATCTATAAACAATTGAATTTAAAAATCAAAATAAACGAACAAGGAATCTAATGAACAAAATAAACTGATGAATAAAATAGAATCAGAGGCATGGGAACATGGAACAGACTGATGAATCTCAGAGGGAAGGGGGGTGGAGAGGATGGGAAGAAATTAGCCAAAGAACTTATATACATACATACTAGAGCCCCAGTGCACGAATTCGTGCACAGGTGAGGTCTCTCATGGTGGCCTGTGGAGATTAGGCCCCAGTTCGCACCCCCAGCCTCGAAGCCCTGCAGCCCCGCCTGGCACCCTGCCTTGGCCTGGCACTGCCTCCTTACCTGCTCCATCATCCTGCCTATGGGGCGATCAATTGGGGCCGGGCCACCCGCCCGGCTCCCTCAGTGCCTGGGAGCCAGGTGGCAGCCCCATCCATCACTGCTGCCACTGGTCGCTGTCTGTGGAAAAAAAATCAGTGGGGCAATCGGCTCCCACTCACATCCACTTGCCTTGGCCTGACCCTGCCCACTCACCTGCTCCACCATCCCGCCATGGCCCTGCTCTCGGGGCCGGTAGCGCCTCCACTGCCACCTGCTGTCAGTGCCATGTCACTGACACCCTCCATGTTCCATGCCACCCCCTGGTGGTCAGTGCACGTCATAGTGAGCAATTGAACTCCTGGTCTCCCTGTCAAACTCCCAGTGGAAGGACCGCCAAGGGACAATTTGCATATTAGGCTTTTTTTATATAGCATTACCTATAGACACAGACAATAGG